ATTCCTTCCATCTTCTTTTAATACTTCCTGGATCATTTAATATTCTATTGTTAGTCTTTCTGTTGTTTCTGTTGTGACATTGGCCCTTTCATCTTTTATTCAGATTATCTGTGTCTTTTCTTTCTTTTCCTTTGTTAGCTTTGTTGGTGGTTTGTCAATTTATTGGCCTCTAAGAACCAACTCCTGATCTGGTTGATAATTTCATTTGTTTTTCTGCTTTCTATTGCATTTATTTTTGCCCTAATTTTTAGATGTTTCCTCCTCTAAAGACACCTCTAAAAGAAAAATAAGACATGGAGGCACAGGGCCACTAACATCTTTCTGAGAGAGACAGAGGGTATAAGAATAGCACAGCCCCTCACCATCCCAGAGCAGAAAGCAGATGAAGTGCCCATAGCTCAGCCCAATTATGCCTCTAGAAGAGCGAGAGATTTGTTTCTTTATTGCTAACTCACAGACTCACAGTTACAGTATCAGCAGTGTTGGGGTTTATTAGGGAAGTGTGTGGAGGAGGCAGAGAATATCACCCAATAAAAATATAAGTTTTAGATAAACAGTTCCAAAGCAAAATTCCTCAGTTAGTCTAGGCTCTGGTTTCAGTTTAACGGTCAAAAGGAAATCATCCAGCAACGTTTGCCTCAGAGCAGTTATAAGTCAGTTTCTTATTCAAACATCCAGCAAGAACAGCCAAACTTTTAACTGTGGCCAGCACAAATGTAAGAAGCCTCAGGTTATACTTTGTCACAGTTTCTCCATAGCAATGCCACAGTTTCTTTTCTTCAACACCATTATCAGGGTCTCTCCAACAGGGTCTGCTTCTTTTCCTGAGGTCTTGCTGCCAAAAGTTTCGTTCTCCTCAAGTCTTGATGCCCAGTGTGGGTAGCACTCTTTCTCTTATCCTAGTCCCACAGCTGTTGTTGATTTGCAAGACCATGCTGATTTGCAAAACAGTGTGTCTGCAGTTAAGATAGCTGGAGACCAGAGGCAGCTAATGGTAATGGCGGGGGGGGGGGTGGGGTGGAGGTGGGTGGTAATAAACTTGAGGCTAACACCACAAGAAATTTTTTATTTTTTAAAATTTTTTGCTATTATTCTACTTGTGGGAGATACTGAGTTAAATAATTGATTATGATTTTTTTCCCATTTTGATGTGTTTGCTCTACTGATATGAATTTAACTCTAAGTACTGCTTTTCCTGTATCCCAGAGGTTTTGGTAAATTGTGTTTTCATTGTCATTTATTTCAAGAATGTTTTTATTTATTTATTTTTATTTCTTCTATTATCCACTCATGTTTAAACAGGGCATTGCGACCTCTTCATTTTTTTTTTTTTGTGGCATCTAATGTATAGAAATTTTTAATTTGTTGAAGTCTCATTTATCCATTTTAAATAGTCATTGTTTTCTGTGTCTTATCAAAAAGGATTTTAAAATATTATTATTATTTTGGCTATTTTCATTCACATTGTGTTTCTATGATCATTCCATACATTGTGTCTTATAAAAATTGTGTCTTCATTAAGCTGTGCCCAATATTACCCAGTCTTTTTAGATCCCAATTGGATCTTTTAGTCCCTTCATCCCCTTCTTCCACCCACTAAACTCTGTGACCCTGTGATTTCACCCTCTTCCCAGCTCCAGCCTCCCGTTCCCACTTCTCCCCTTGGATTTTTGTGCACATTTTACTAGTTATCCTTCTATGTTTACAGTAATGGTCTTAAACAGTATTTGTCCTTATGAGCCTATTTTGCTTTATCTAATCTTTTTTTCTTATAAATTTTTGAATAAGCTTTTCTTGGAATTAACATTGTGAGATTTTTATTGGAGTTATATTGAATCAGTAGATCAATTTCAGTAACATTTGATATCTTAAAAAGACAGGGATTTTTCCAGTAGATGCCCATAGCATATTTTTCTAATTATTTGTCTTATTTCAGAAGTTTAAAAAATAGTTTTCAATGTAGAGGCCTTGCATATATTTCTTTAATATCTCTAAGTATTTTTAGCTTTTAAATATCTTGTAAATGATCCATCTTTAAATTGCTGTTATTTTGCTGATACTTAGAAAATGGATTTTTTTTATATTGACCTGTATTTTACAACCTAGCCAAATTCGCTGTGCCATTACTTTGCTCAGGGATTTTCAAAATTTCATGTTTACCCTTTAACCATTTGTCATGCAGGTGTATTACATTCACATTTTAGATAGCTTTTGTCCAAAATATGCTACCTTTCTTGCTCAAGTCCACATGATTTGAATAGCAAGGGGAATAAGATTTGAATTTAGATCTATTCTTACTCCAATGCCCAACCTCTTTCCACTTCATTGTAAATATATCAGAGGAGGCTTGGTAATATAGTGTGTTACATGTTGGGCTATTTATTGAAAGTTGATAGTTCAAATCCACCAGCTATTCCATGGGATAAAAAGAGATTTATGGCCTCAGAAACTTGATGGAGGTTTTCCAAGAAGCCCTGGTAGTCCAATGGTTAAAATCACTTTGGGTTGATAACTTAAAGGTGGCAGTTCTGCAGAAGAAAGATGTGGCAATCAACTTCTATGAAGCTTTATAGCCTTAGAAGTTCTATGAGTCAGTTATACTCTGTCCCATTGGACCACTGTGTCTGAGGCTACTCTTTGGCAGAATGTTAATAGTATTTACCCAAGTTGGGTGATACCTTGGACTTTTCTAGGTTGCACTGGAAAGTTTTTCTGTCATCGTTTTACAAGGATAAAATTTGATAAGTTTGATAGTTTGACAGAGACAGTAAGAAGAAAGTGAAGAAGATAGTAGTACTTTTTCCAAATTTAGGAGATTGGGAAGTACTTTTTTCATGTTCCTCCACAGAGGATTGTTAAAGAAGTCCTGTGTAATTGCATAGTCTAGTCCCCTTTTACCCTTTCTGTTAGTCCACATTAACTGCTCTTGAATTTCCCATTTTGTGGATATTGTAAAGCTTGAATTCTGTCTTTCTTCTCTTCACACTGTGCTGTAGGAAGTAATTTCTGTACAGCTAAGGACCTCACAGAAGAGATCATGTCATTAGCTTCAGAGAGGGAAGCACTGGAGGGATTTCTTAGCAAGCTGCTGATGCTGAATACAAGGAATGTCAGAAAGCTGGAGAACATGAGAGAAGAGTACAACAAACTGATAGGGGAACTGGAGGCTGAGAAGACAGCCTATGGTAAGTGGCTCACAGCTTCTGACTGATGGATGTTCGCTGGCCAGACAGGATGCTCCTGGATTCTAATGAATGTCACTGTGAAGGGTGTCATTGAGCACATGACCCTTCCCAGAAGACTTCTTTGGGAAGCCATGGTGTGGGCGTTTTTTTGGTAAGCTTTTTTGTTTTTCCCTTTCCGTGTGAAAAAAAAATTTTTTTTTTCTCTCTCTCCCCCTGTTCATTTCTACTCCAATGTCTTCTTTCTCCTGGACTGTGATTATTTAGAGCAATCTGTCCTTTGGGGCAGGCCTTGAGCAGTTTTGCTTGTTGGTTTGCACAGTTGTCTTCCTTTCCTCCCATTGCTCAAGTCCTCCAGCCAGTAGGGGACACTGACCAATACAGGCATCCTTGCTCTGAAGTAATTTAAAGATATTTTGGGGAGCAGTTTTGTTTGTTGCTTGCTTTTTGCTTAGTCTTGATCCTGTGGCTGATTTTTCACCTCCAATTATTTGGACTTGAACCAGCGACCTGTGTTATGGTAGACTCTGAGTTCACTAGCCTTGGAATCTAGTGGTCTGCTGCCTTACCTGCCAACCTGGGTTTGTGAGGCTCTACAAATGAGTAAATCAGGTGAAGCCTCTCACCTGAAGTTTTACCCAGGTGGACCTGGGACTTACCAACCTCCCCAAGAGCATGAGCCATTTTCGTGTCTACCTTCCTATCTAGATACGTTGTTGTTGTTGTGTACCATCTACTCTGAATGACTCATAGCTGGCTCTTCTGTAGGTTTTCAGACACAGTGAATTACATGGGAAGAAATTGCCCATCCTTCTCCTGTGGAGTGGCTGGTGGCCTTGAATTGTGTTCATTAGGGATTACAGCACAGTTTCTTTACACTAGGCCCCCCAGAGCTCCCTACCTAGATAGATAGTTATATAAATGTCTATATAGCCTCATTGGTTTTGCTTCTCTAGAGAACCCGGCCTAAAACATATGCCTATAGATATTATCCTATCACTGACAGCTTTGTACTTTATTATGTTGCTGTTGCTATGTGTCATCGAGTCAGAACTGATTCTGAGTTGATCTTCCAGCAGGTTTTCGGAGACTGTAAATCACGTGGGAGTAGACTGCTCATCTTTCTCCCTCAGAATAGTTGGTGAATTCTATGTGCCTTTGGGTTGGCAGCATAGCTCCTTACACACTAGGTCACCAAACCACACCTATAGTTTATGATAGATCTTGACATGTTATATTTGACAAGGAATGTGTCGGCATGATCTGTCGGCATGATCTGATCTAAAATGGCCAGTACCAGTCCATTTCAGCTCACTAGAGCCCAAGATGTCAATCGTTATGCCTTATATTTTATATTTTGACAACATCTGATTTTTTATTCTGTAACATTATACTTATAAATTACTCGGTACATTAATGGATAGTTACAGCTATGTAAGATTAAATGAGGTAAGAGATAAATAAAGTGTGTGTGTGTGTGCGCGTGCACGCACGCGTTTGTATGTGTGTGTGTTTTCCATTTTTCCCAGGAACTGAAAGTTGATGGAGAACAGAAGTGATAAATAATATATTATTGTTGTTATTATTAGATTTTGTTGAGTCAAGTATCACTCATAATGACCCTGTGAAGAGTGGATCTGAGCTCTGTCCTGTCTGGTGCCATCCTTACACTTCCTGATACACTAGAGCTCATTGCAGCAGTCATCATGTTAATCACACTGGTTGAAGGTCTGACTCTCCTTTGCCGACCCTCCACCCTTCCACGCGTTATGTCCCAAGCATCAAATATATACTATGTCTGAAGTGAAAGAGGAAGAAATTGAGAATTTTTGCCAAATCCTACAGTCCAAAATTGATTGAACATGCAATCAAGATGCATTAATAATAATTGATGACGGGAATGCAAAAGTTGGAAACCATGAAGAAGGAATAGTAGTTGGATAACATGGGCTTGGTGATAGGGAAGAGGCTGGAAAGAATAAAATTTTGTATTTTCAATGACTTTATTCACTGAAAATACCATTTTTAAGAGACACAAATGATGACTTTACACATGGATCTCACCTGATGGGCTGCATAGTAATCAGATTGGCTGTGTCTATGGAAAAAAAATATCACTGGAGAAGCTCAATATTGGTAGTCAAAACTATGCCAAGGGTAGACTGTAGGTTAGACCATCAAAATACTCATATGCAAATTCACATTGAGGCTGAAGAAAAGAAAAATAAGTACACAAAAACCAAGATATGATCTTGAATCTATTCCATCTGGATTTCAGTATCATCTTATGAATGAGTTTGAGGCATTGAACACCAATGATTGAAGACCAGATGAGTTGTGGGATGGTATCATGGATATCAACCATAAAGAGAGCAAAAGGTCATCACAAAGACAGAGGAGAAAGAAAAAACTTAAATGGATGTCAGCAGAGACTCAGAAAATTGCACTAGAGCATCAGGAGGCCAAAACAAAAGTAAAAGAGGTGATAAATTTTCTAAAACATAATGCATTATGTGAACACAGACTCATAAGGACAAGTACTGCATAATACCATTATTGTAAAAAATAGAAGGATAACTAGTAAAACATGTATAGGAACTCAAGGGGGGGAGGGCTGAGGATGGATAGGGGTGAAACCACAGGGTTGCACAGTTTGGTGAGTGGAGGGAGGAGGGGGGAAAGAAATGGGAAGGATCCGGGTGAGAAGATAGGGTAATGATGGGCAATGTCCAATGGTGATTAATGTTATAAAATGTAATGTATAAGATTGGTTGTATGAAATACAATGTGAAGCAAGAATAGTGTGAAACAATGTTTATGAACTTTGGAAGCAAAAAAAACCAACCAAAAACATAATGCATGGACATGATTGTATGAAACACAATGTGAATGAAGAATAGTGTGAAAAATAATGTGTACAAACCTTGTAAGCAAACAAATATAAAATAAAATTTACAAAAGAGCTGAGCAGAAGTTTTCAAAGGGCAGCTTGAGAGGACAGAAGAAAGTATTATAATGGTATGTGTAGAGAGCTGGAAGTGGAGAATAAAAAAGGGAAGAACTTGCCCTGCATTTCTCAAGCTGAGAGAAAGGAAAAACAAATTTAAACCTCAATTTACAACATATTTTAGATCCTAAATAAATGCTTTTTTACTGGGGAAATGAAAGCACTACATATGAATAAATGTCTATATTTTAAGAAGTCTGTTTATTTTAAAAGAAATAAGAAAATAATGGAGATGTGAAAGAAAACTATTTAAAAATATTCCACAAATTAAAGTAAATGAAGGTTAATATTCACCATCAAATAAAGAAATAGTAGATAGTAATAAATCAGCTAGCAGGGGTGAGATATGTGAATTTGAGATAAATACTTTTTTAAAAAGGCTTATTGAATTATTTAGACAGAAGTTTCCTTGGAGAGATAGGTGGATCAAAAATGGTATATTCTGTTTATTACATCTGTTTAACCCCAATCAAACATACGTTGGCACCATAAACTAACCCTTTAGAGCTCTGGCACTATGGACCTCATTGCTGATGTCAGATGGATCTTGGCTGAAAGCAAAGACTAGCAGACGAATGTCTGTCTGGCTTTTATTGACTTGTGGCTGACCTGGAGAAGAATGGGAATCTCAGAAAACTTTTCACTCTTGGAAAACCTAAATTTAGATAAGGAAGGAGTTTTCAAAACAGAGCAAGGAAACATTGGTTCAAAATTAACAAAGGAATGTATTAGGTATGTGCTCTTTTTTTATACCTTTCTCTATACCTTTTCAATCTGTATGTGGAACTGATCATTTCAGAGACTGAACTTTAAGAGGAGGAATGTGGCATCAGAATTGGAGGAAGACTCGTCAACAACCTGTGTTGCTTGCTAAAACTGAGAAAGACCTGAAGCACTTGCTGAAAACGGTCAAGGACTGTAGTCCTCAAATGGATTGAAGCTCAACATCAACAAAACAAAGATTTTCACTACTGGGCCAATTGGCAGCACCATGATAGATGGAGAAGAGATTGAGATTGTTAGCAATTTCGCCTTTCTCGGATCTGTAATCAAACTCTTGTCACCAACAGTCAGGAAATCAAAAGACGAATTACACTGAGAAAGTGCTGTCAGGGACCTTTACAGAGTGTTGAAGAACAATGCTGTTAGTCTAGAGACTAAGGTGTGTCTGATCAGACCATGGTCTTCACAGTTATTTGCTATGCATCAGAGAGCTGGGCAATGATCAAAGATGACAGAAGAAGAATTGATGCCTTTGAGTTGTGGTGCTAGAGAAGAGTATTGAACATACCATGGACCACAAAGAGAACAAACAGGTATGTTCTACAGAGGGTAAAACCAAGTTGCTCCTTAGAGGAAAGCATTTAGAAGGTCCATCTGACATACTTTGAGCATATGGCCAGGAGGGACCAGTCCTTGGAGAAGGACATAATGGTTGGAAGAGTGAAGGGATAGTGCAGGAGAAGAAGATCCAGGATAAGACGGATTGACACAGTAACTGGGGTAATGGGAGTAGGTGTGTTGAAGTCAGTGAGACTGGCTCAGGATAGTAAACGTTCAGAGCTATTGTGCATAGGGTTGCTATGAATTATAGTTGACTTGACAACCCATAACAACAACAAATACACATTTCAGGAATGAGCAACATGGAATTATTTTTTAAGTTATGTAATTTTGTTCTGACAGCACCAGAATTTGACCATTTCTTCATGTACAGTTCAGGGACACTGATTACATTTTTCACTTTACACAATAATTCTCATCCCCCTTTTCTGAGTTGTTCCTCCTCTGTTATAATAAACCCACCCCCCTCTAACTCACTGAGTGCTGCCACCTGGCTCTGATTTGCAGCAACTCTCCAGTGGGTTTCTGAGGTTTTGACTGAAATAGGAAAATACTGCCCATCTTTCTCCTGTGGAGCCAGTGGTGGGTTCTGACCACTGGGGCTGCATGGCCTCTGGGTGAGAAGCACAGTGGGCAGCATACTGCCTCTCAC